AAAAAAAAAAAAAAAAACAAAAAAAAAAAACAAAAAAAAAAAACAAAAAAACAAAAAAACAAAACAAAAAAAAAAAACAACAAAAAACAAAAAAAACAAAAAAAACAAGAAGTTTTCGAATTCAAAATGTATTTTGGTCCTACCGATCTTTCCAGTGGGTTTCAGGATCAAAGTTGTACGGCGACGACGACAGAAGGAATAGAATAGGGGAGACCGGGGCTAGTTGGACCCTGGGGTAAGTTGGAACCCCATCAATTTATATGGGGTAAAAGAATTGATCACATCATTTTGTAAAGTGACCGTATCCAACAGTGCTAAGAAAGCGTCGGCAGTGAGTCCAAATGAAATAATTTAGCATCTTAAAGTAACTTTATTAAAGAGACTTGATGGGGGTCCAACTTACCCAGGGGTCCAACTAGACCCGGTCTCCCCTAATAATTCTTTCAGCTAGTGTATGAAACAATCATTAATGTCACGAGGTCTTGAAATAAACACATGTTATGCAACAGTGTGTTTAAAATATAAGAACAATTAATCACGAACTAAAGTTGAACTTTGATTTTTTATTAAAATTAAAAATTAATTGTGAATTAAAACAACTTACAAGTTTACTGGTATTTTCAAGCGCATCGACTAACTTTTCCATGTAGTTTCCTTCGTCCTCGAGGTCTGCGCGTGAAATAAAGCGATTGAGAAGACGACGTCTCCTGCCTGGAATTATAAAGATGACACATCAAGGCGTTGACCTGTTTTTACCTCCTTAAGTTAAGTTAGGCCATTACCTCGATCTCCACTCGAGAATTTTTCTAAACCTGTAGTGAGGCGAAAGTGTGAAGAATAAATGATTCTGCTTGATAATATAAGAATGATAAAGAGACAGGAAAGATAACATACCTTCAGACTCAGCAAACATCTGCACGACTAACAAAGTCACCAAAAGTAAGGCCAACACTCTGTACTTGTTCATATCAATGAAATTTTAATTGCCTTTTTAACCAACAGACGAACACGCGGTCCCGTGGTCTACCTCAGGGTTTTCATCCTTTTTATACCGAATGCTGCGTGTCAAGTAGTTAGGGACAAGAAACCGGTTTTGGTGCTTTTAAAAGCCCCCTATCCATGACTTAATCGC